CCCCCCCCCACTCACAAACATGTAGCAACACTCACCCACTCACTTCACTACACCTCCCATACTCTTCTCTTGATTACTGTTGAAAATCTCAGAATTATTTTTCCACATCAGAAGCACGGTCCCTCTCAAACATAATCTCTCACTTGCATATAAAGGCACACACACACACTCTCTCTCTCTCTCACACACACAGCACCCCCATCTCTCTCACACACACAGTATCATGAACAATCCAATATACAAACCCCCCGCGCGCACACTTCCCCACCCGTACATCCCTCTAAGCGACAGTCTGTTGCTGATGCGGTGGTGGCGGTGCCCTCGTGGCTGTCTGTTGGTGGCCGCCTCCCCGCTGCTGTAGCTGCTGTTGCTGCTGCTGATGTCGGTAGAACTCTTCCATGTCCGAGTCGTCCACCTGCTGAGCCTCAGCCACGTACAGGCACGGGTCGATGGTTTTGGGGATAGGCTTGATCTCTGTGCACAGCTCTTGTTCAATCTTGTGGAGGGAAAACCTGGGGGTGGAGGAAACCATACAGTTCAGTATAAGTAACAGTTTTACGGCACGTGCAACGCAATAAGGATATGTTTTAGTATAAGTAACAGTTTTACGGCACTTGCAACATAATAAGTCGACCTTATACAGTTGCGAGTACCATAAACACTTCCTTTTTTTGTGTGTTTGTTACTCTCTTGTAACACCTCTAATCTTCGGCACTTGTATGACCTTGTGTTGCAAGTGCTGGGTGGGTGGTTGGCAGGTGCTCTGATGGGGTTTGCTTCTTTTCTCTCAAACATATTGTCCTTATCTATCCTCCTCCTTTTTGCGTGTGTTACTCTCTTGTAACACCTCTAATCTTGGGCACTTATATATCTGTAAATAAGTCAGTCAGAAACAACACAACTTTCTTTAACTGAAACGTGACTCCAGTTTTTTGGTTTGAGTTTACCGCACTTGCAAAAAAAAAGGTCATTTATGTACTTCGCAGTGAGTTACACATGCGAGATAATCCCCTACTTTTACAGCGCTATCCAGACACAAAATAAAAAACCCCTGTTGCCCTGTGTGTTCATCATCAGAAAAAGTGAATCAGCACAGCTGTCAGTAGCAGAACTGGATAAGAATTTTCATCACGGACAAACACAAAGGCTTTGGGAATACGATAATAATGGCCTGTGTCTTCAGGAAAATAATGCAGGATTTACAAGTGCTGTGCTGAAGATTAACACTTTGCCGTCACTCGGCGCAATAATGTGACGGTGAAAATGATCCGTTCTGGTCACAGATGCGCCAGGCCTGAGAAGTCCGTTGCAGTCACTCTCCTGGCTGGGTGACCAGATGGGGTACTTACAACTGCTGGCTGCGCGACTGCAAAGTGTTCAAGGTGTTACAAGAGAGGAGCAAACAAAAAAACCAAGGAAGCAAGACAAGGACGACAAATGTTTAACAAGAAAGAAGGAGCACCCGCCAACC